ATGCCACGCCCAATATGGGATATACAATAGTCTTCTTTTATCCGCAGAGGATAACTTCCAAGACCCCCAGTGGTTGCCTGAAACTGCAGATAGCACCAAACGTTATATATACTATTTTTCCCTATAAATACCTGTGATAGAGTTTAATTTATAAATTAGGTGCAAATACAACAATAACTAATATTAAAATAGAATAATTGTAAAAATATGCCAGCACTGCTACTCTAGTGCTTTGAGGTCATTATGAAGTAGAATAAGGGTTACTAGAACACAAGCATTGCCACACCACAACGGCCTATCCACTGAATGATTAATGGGCCATAGGGTCTACTGCATGGGCACGCTGGACAATGTGATGATTCACATCCCAGGAGGGATGAAGGGGGACAGCGTGAGATTTCATCATGCTACTCAGAACAGGATGCAATTTAAAATTTAGGAATTGTTTATTTCTGGATTTTTGTATTTCATACTTGTATTTTTGGACCACAGTTGACATCGGGTAACTGAAATCATGGAAGGAGAAACCTCGGAAAAGAGAGAAGTACTGCGTTGTTTTTACATTCAAGCTGAAGATTCGAGCTCTGTGCAAGCTGAATCTTTGGTCAGTGTTTTCTCTGTGAACCTGTGAGAGATGATCAAGGGCCAGCTTTCAGTTTCCTAAAGTGACAAAAAACAACATAATCATATCTAAATCACCAGAATGAATGAAGTCCTTTTGAAAAGGTGGTAGCCTCTGATCATTAAAAAAAATGACTAGATGCATTAGTTTCCAAGATGAAAATTCAATTCTTACTCCCAGGCCTTTAAGACCTGACAGAGGCTCTAGACATTGACTTTTTTTTTTTTCTTAACACATTTTGAATTGCACGAAGAAGACAAAATATCAACTTCTTTATGAAACATAACACAAACAGCCCTAAAATGTTAAATCAGTTTCTTTTGTATTTGATTTTCAACATCCATAGAGTAGAAAGATGCAAACCACAGAGGACAATTCACGATTCTGCCCTGTGCCTCATTTTAGACTTGGAAGGCAGGCTGAACCTTCAGAGGTGTGCCTAGATCCCATTGTCAGTGAAGTGGTGAATGGTGGCTCAAAGAAATAAACTGAATTTACATAGGCTGGGAAGCTTCCACTCCCTTCCAAGTTCTCATTGCAAATGCCTCAGCTGAGTCCACTGATGGTGAGATATAGTAATTGTTGCAGGCATCTTGAACCTAAGTTTAAAGGATAAGTCCCCTAACCAAGGTAGGAGAAATGGGATTCTTTCCCATTTAGCTCTGGCATCTCTTCCTGTGTGTGTTTTGGAGAGATGCTTAGCCTCTCTGGTCTACAGTTTTCTCCAGTGTAATGTGGGGGTGGTAGCACAAATGAATGTCTCACGCCCAGTACACAACTCCCATACAGTATGAGCTCAAAAAAGGCACACTAATTGAAGAGAAGAATTAGCAAATTAGTTAATATTCCCTTCCTAGTTTTCAAAGCATTTGACATACAAGAATAAGGTTTATACATACTAATTATACTTATTAATAAAAGTAAAATCAGCTTTACTCTCCAATACTAGAAGGAATTCCACATTGAAATACTTATTTAAAGTTGGAAGAGGGCAGTGAAAACCCAATTAGAAGAATCACAATCACTCCTGAGTCTTCAAGTCAAACTTGGTGACTCCTACTCTTTATGCCAAGCAGCATCTTCACTACTTCTGTAGGGAGCTAGCTGCAAATCTGTACTTCTGATTACCTACTGGACAGTTCCATCTAGCTGTCACAGAAACACCTTCAATTTACACTTCCAATCCAAACTTAATTCAACTTCTTTCCTCCAAACCCACTGCTTTTAGATTCACAGTCCCAGGTGCTATGGTCACAAAGAACTCAATATCATAGGTAAGGAAGCTTAAAATCACACTGGCAATCTCTAATCAGTTATCAAATTCTGATAAATCTACCTTATTAGCATATTTTCTTTCATTCAATACATATTTATTGTGCACCTGTTATGTTTCAGGAATGATTTAAAGAAATGGGCATACAACAGCGAAAAAGAAAACAAGATTCCTGCCTTCTTGGAGCTTACATTCTGGTGGGGCAGTCAGACCTACAAACACACTTACACACACACAAGAAGCCAAAAAGCAAAATAAGTTTAAAAAGTTGTAATCGATACAAAGGAAACCAACAAAGGGTGATCTACTTTAGATGGAAAAAAGAACACGTTTCGTTTGCATGAGGAACTAAAAGATGACCAATGTGGCTGGAGTGCAGCACACTGAAAGGAGGAGTAAGATGAAATTGGAAAGGTTTGCATGGCCCTGATCACGTAAAACAATAAAGTAAAGGAATTGAAACTTATTTTACGACTTTGGGAAGCCAGAGGTTTGTTATAGAGTCATATGATCTGCATTGTAGGTTTAAAATATCCCTCTGGCTTCTTCAGGGAGAAGAGTTTGGGAGGCAGAAATCAGCTGTGTCAGTCTTTAGGTTCTGAGGTGAAGATAGTCCAGTCCAAGCTGGTTGCAGGGCAGAAGCAGAGAAGTCGTTCCTCCTCTCCATCCCCAATTTACTGAATCATTTCAGACCCTCATTTTATCTCATTTTGAACTTCACCCAAACCCTCCTGACATGTCTCTAGGTTTATATGCTCCTAATCCTCCACAGTGCCTACCAGATGGACTTTGCCACTCATCTGCTCAGAGATCCCAGCTGCCCACCCCCACCTGCCCCCATTGTCCTGTAAAAGTCTCAAAAAGTGGTGAAGGCTGTAGCACAACTACCCAGGAGCAATTTCAAGTATTCCAGACCAGATCCCACCTGACACACAGAGCCATACTCGCTGGGCACCGCAAAGGTGTATTTTTAACACATTCTCCAAGTGATGTAAATAAGATGCTCTCATATCTTCTCCATCATCCCAAGGAACCCTTTTAAGAGTTAATTTAGCTAAACATAAGATCTGTCCCGAATTGCTGCATTTAGCTTACCCTCCATTCACACTCAACATCTCAACTTCTCCCTTCTGTTATGTCTTATTTTACTATTTTGTTCCTTCAACCTCTGAAGAGGAGAAAATATACTGTAGTGTGGTCCGGGGAGGTGGATGGGCATAAAGGCAAATAGGTGATTATAAGACAACAGGATAGATATTTTGATACGGGGTTGAAAGGACTGAAAGTTGTCAAGGAAGGTGGCAAGATTCATTCTACATCCTCAAACAACTAGCAAAGGTTCTACAAAGTAAGAACTTGATGAATGAATGAAGGAATGAATGAATGAATGAATGAATGATGAATATAAGCAATGCCCATTACTCAAGGACAAGAAGAGCAAATCGGTGTTCCTTATTTTAGTTGCACTGATGTCATAAAGCAGTGATTCCTTTACATTGAAATAAGAAAGGACCACTTAACTAAAATTGCTTTTAAGGCAATATGTTCCAAATGAAAAAGGACTCCACTAGTCGGGAAAGACATTTTATTTCCAGTTTCTAAGAGGGTTCTACAAACAATAGAGGCTTAAAATAAAAAAGAAAAAAGAAAAGCAAGTATTTTTAACTATTGAAAAGTAGACAGCCTTTTAAAAAGAAACTTAAACATAAAAATGTGAAAATGTAGTTGTCAACTCTAATCCAAATACATTCCTAGAAAAAAGTATCATCCATGGTGATGGGGTTACTTATAGCTGTATACTTGTTTAAGATCTATTCATATTCCTTTTGAGTTATTTCTTCATTTCAAATTCAATTGGAGATCTGTGCAAATCTAGCAAAATATTCTTTGGATTACAAAAACTATATTAAAAAAATGAACACAACCTGCAATTATGGAAGTATTAAGAATGTGCAATCCCTCACAGAAATGAGAGATTCTTAAATGACACTGTCCACAGAATTCATTCCATTGAAGTGTTCAGCCCAATTTGATTTAAATGCAAAGTGAAATGGAAGTGAGCACTTCATAAAAACATTTCTCTTTGTATGCATTTTGACTGAGTCATAAAAATAGTATGTTAACAGGATATAAAGAAATGTTTGAAACAAGTTTTTACAAGAAAGAGAGAAAAGGAAAGGTTATCTAAAAATGGTCTGCAATCCAAGAAAACACCATGTGCCCTGTCTTTAGGGAGAAAGAGGGAAAGCACTTGCAGCATGTCTTTGTGTGGTCTTTCCCCCAGTATTGCTACATTTTGACCTTTGGCCCAACTGAGCAGGTGAAATGTCCTTCACGTAACCCAATCCCCAGGAAGCTAGAAGGGACTGCAGGCTATTCATGGGTCAAATGGCATTGACCCTCAGAATCTAATGTGGCCCCTGCCCTCATTCTGAGCTTATGGCCCCAAACATACTCTAAAACAAAGAGTTTGAAGTGAATTGCCCTTTCTCTTATCAAAACATAAAATGCCACATTATTTTAAGAAAAGTTAAAATCATAGGAGGGAAAAAAAAGCAATTTCAATTGTCAGAGTCTTACAATAGCATGGCAAGATCAACATAAGAAAAAATAGAATAACATCAGAGTCTGGGGCAAATTTATATTTTTGACTCTTCACTTCCTCAACTCCCAAATGCTCAGCATAGGGCATAGAATCTGCATCTTGAACATTAGAGGTCTGATAGTTTCATTCCCTCACGGATTCGTCTCTTATAACCATCTAAGTACTGATATACAAGATAAATGCATATTATGTAACACATATTGCAAAGTCATAGACTGACCTAGAACTTTAGCATCCTTCTTATTTAGAAGATGTGTGCGAAGGTAAGCCAGGAAGCTAACACTGAGAATGTACCAAAAAAAAGCTTTACAGGATATTACAGAATCTTGTCTGAAAAAACATTTGTAAAACATATTTGATTTTAAATAAACAATAAAAGCAGCAGACAGACTATAACAGATCATAAATAGGGTTATTAAAAGATCACAATTAAATTAGAAATATAGATGAATCATTAGAAATACTTATTTTTTTCCTCAATGTTAAGAATCAAACCCAGAATTAAAAAAGAATCTTTTTTTTATTTCAAAGGTTGCTTCTTATATTGAAGCTCATATTAAAGCAACAGTACAATGTTCATAAAATATAAGTGTGATGCCATAACATTTTCTTACATGTCAGAATACTGATATTTGTATGTATACTAAAATAAGAACTTTAAAATTGTACAAATAGATACATTAAAAATGACATAGAAATAGGGCGTCTCTCACTGAAACAAGACAGTTATATCTGGCACGTATTAGTTTAAGATGAAAGTAGAAGCAAAAAGATTTACAAGAATCAGCAGTAACAAGATTGATGCTCAAGAGACATAATTGTACATTGTATTGTACATACATTGTATGGGTTTAAGCTGGCTGAATATTATATATTTCAAGTTTAAAAATGCACTACATATAGAGTGTCCATAGTTTAAGGCGAAATTACAGCTCAGAACTGTTGTCCTTTCTAATTTTGTGGAAGCTTCTTTGACAAATTAAAAAAAAAAAGAAGAAGAAAGACTTAGATGTTCATAACACATCGACAATTTCCCTTCATTGTAAGTTCACCATAAAACTTCTCCTTCACTTAAATATTTTGTATGCCAAGTGGTTTTTCTCTAGCGAAGTTGATAAACAACTTCAAGATTTGCCTTTTTGTGAGAAAAGGTACTTCACAGTATTTACCACGTTGACGTCCTTGCAGTTTTATTAAATGTATCCTCTCTTTAAAACTTCACTTGATTTAAATGAGCCTTTCCTTGATTTAAAAAAATACCTGTTTACACATCTTCTAGATTCTTGAGAACACCAGACACAGTTCTTAAGGCCAAATTTGTGTTGTTATTGTTAAGAATCATCATCAAAAGTGTCTTTGGAACCATACAAGTCTGCTAGTTTCTTAAAACGAGGTCCCCAGTTCTGTAGATAGTCATAGTCCAAGTCTGAATCTGTGGTGGCAGACTCTAAGGAGCTCAGGGACCCAGCCACCGAGCCCCGGCCTTCATAACCATAGATTTGAATGGAGTCATAAGGAGGGGCCGTGGGGTCATTGTCAGCCTCCTGTATTCTCGTGTTGATGAAGTCATCGACATCCACACTGTTGGGTGCTGGCCGGAGTCCAGGTCTAGGCATGTACTGATATTCAGGTTTTATGTCTTTGCGAGGGATAAATCCATTGATCCCATCAGGATTCTGGAGGGTGGCAATATCAAAAGCTTCGGTGTCTTCCTCTCCTCCTCCTTCATCATCATAGGTAATGATGTTCTCACGGACATCTTCTTCCTCAAAGACAATGAGTGGTTCTTTCTTTTGCCTTCTCAGGGTCACAAACAACACTACAATAACTTCAGGGAAAGAAAAAGAAAGTAAGCATATATTAAGCCTGGTATTTCTGGATTCTTTTCCCGGAGGAACTCTGCTTACCGTAAACCACGGCATACAAACATTTCAGAACTGAAACCAGTTTATGAAATGAGAGCTTTGCCCGGAATCCCCAAAGATGTGTGAAACTGACCTCTGCCTGGTTCTTTTTCTGCAAAATGCTGCCATGAAAACTTTATATTCAACAACTTGGAACGTTGGAATTCTCTTGAACTTTTTATAGCAAATCTAGATACTATTTAGAAATCATCTTCCTAAGAACTAGGAAGATTCAAATTATGTTGGTCTGCAGTCTCTTAAAAGTGCCTAATAGTTTCTCTTTGCAAAGGAAGGTAGCTGCCTTTCCAAAGTTTAAGAATGAGGACATTTAGAGACTTCAGAACCTAACTTCTTGGAGGACGTGATGTCTAGACCCTGCCCAGTGGTCTGACGAACAGCCTTGTCCCTACCATAACTTAACAAAAAAATGTTATCATAAGCATGGCTGGACTCTCCACACCACTATATGGAGCAGGGGAAGTTTATAAAGATCCCCAGGAGATAAATCTTCTCTAACTTATTTAAACATAGGAAAATAGTGTCAGCTGAAACCCCAGATGAGGTAATCCCATCTCTTTCCTGGGAGAGGGGATTCCATTAAGCTTGGGCAATCTAGGAGCAGGGAGCAGGGTCCTTTATAAAGAAAGCTCAGACACTGCTTAATTCTTTATTGATTCCCTCTTTCCCCCTCCTCCCAAGAGGCTTCTGCAATGTTCCTTTAGAAGACTCTCCCACACACTCAGCAAGACTGAAGAAACTGATTGGGGCTGAATCTGGCAAGCAGATTGAGAGCCTCTCTAGGTACCCTGCCACTCTGAGATGCGGCAGTGAGGGGCTGCAGTTGCCCTGGACTTCACAATGTTCCCAGAGCTCTGTGCATTGTTCTTAGGAGCACCTTTTCCTACCCAGACCACTCCTTCTCACTTTCTTTCCTCGGCTGACTGTTTTCTATCTTTCATCATGGAAACGTTCCTGGGCATCCCATCCTGACACCAGACAGGGCTGTTGGCATTTGCTCCATGCAACCACCTGACCCTGTTCTAATCATCATGGTAACATTTATCATGTGGTTTACACATCTGTGTCCCCCACTCTTAATCCTGCAGGGCTCTTCACATTGTTTTCCCTCTGTTTGGAGTATCCATTCCTCCCAGACATCTTTGCCAGCAGGAAAACTCTTTCAGCATCCAACATATATGTCACCTCCTCCATGAAGATGTCTCTGACCTTCCCAGGCAAAGTCAGGCACATCCCCCCGTGCCTTTACCTTTGATTCATGTCCCCATCACAGCACTCACCACATGCTTCTGTTTATCTGTCCATGCAGACTTTCCTTGACAAACTCTGAACTTACAGAGCACAGAGATCTTGTATAGTTCTTCTGTTTACCCCCCAGGGCCTAACTTGGGGCCTAGTACTCACATAATACTCAGTAACTATTTGTTGAACTGAACTCACTAGCTCTTTCCTATGGAATTGGGTCCCATTCATTCATTCAATGGACAACTAAACATCAGGAGAAAAACCGTAGATTTGATGTCAGACATACATAGGCTTGAATCCTGATTTTGATACTCAGTTCTGGGATGTTGGGATAAATGGTTTAATCTTCCTGAGGTCCCACAATGGTAGATGTCATCAGCAACAGCACATTGCCACTATTACAGAATACACCACAGATGGGATAGAAGTGAAGAAGAGAGCACCTAACTCAGCTGTCAAGTGCAGGACAAGCTTCCCAGGGGTTCCCATAGGCTGCACACAGATATGCACATGATAATTAGGGGAAGGATCAAGGCACAGCTTCTCCCTTCTTCTGGTTCCTAGAATCCATCACATGCTCTCTTTTGCATCGTGGTTACTTTTTCTGCTCCCCTCTGTCCCTAACCCTTCTCATTCCTTTTGCAAGGCAAAACCTTTGCTCATACACCAGTTCTCTGCCTAAATTCCTCTTGAGAACCTTCTCTGATGTTCTTCCAACCCCCAGATGGCTTCTGCTATGTAGTCCTGCAATGCCCAGAAAAAGACTCATCCTAACATTCCCTCCTCTCTGGTATCGCTGCATGTTCATGTCCCCTGCCCACCCCACCCCCTCCAATCCCGGCAACTGCACCATCAAATGTACGAGAGCAGGACCCTCCTCTCTCCGTGTTTTAAACTGTCCACAACCAGCATGGTCCTACAATCAGCCTGTCCTTGAGGATGATCGATTTAAGGATGTGCATCTGCTGTAAGGCCCTTCCGGCAGGTGACCAGGCAGACCCCTTACCCAGGAGAATGACGATGCAGGCGAGAATGGCTATGAGCGCCCCGGTGCTGAGGCCGGCGTTCAGGATGTAGGCTTCTGCGTTGCAGGACAGCAGAGCCCCGTTCACATCGCACCCGCAGACCTTGATGGTGAGGGTGTTGGTGCTGCTCATGGGCGGAATCCCACCATCACTGATGACGATGGGCAGGAGGTATAAATCCTGCTTCTGCCGACTGAACCCTCCGCGCCGGGCGTAAACCCCTGCGGTGTTATCTGTTGGCAGAGGGGAGACAGGTGTGCACTGGTATCAAGACCATTGGAACCACAGTCACACTCAGCTGGGCGGATTTCAGGGCACCTTCTGAACCAGAATCCTTCCACTTGGCTAATCTAAGTATCTAGAGAAGCCACCGTCATTTGGCATGATGGGATCACTGAACCAACTCTCTGTATTTTGAGACAAATCTCAGAAATTGTTTCTTTTTTATTAGATAGATACTGAACACCTTCATTGGCAAGCTAACCACACCATTCCCTGCTTGGGCATTGTCCCTTCATCAAATGCTACAAGAAAGCACGAGCTTCAGCTATGCACTCTATTTAGCATAGGGTATAATTAAATATTTAAGTCAGTGTAAGAAAAGACAAAAACGCTTCTTTTCATGTTTACACTTTCTCTACTTCTTAACAAGCCTTGGGCCATTTTTTGTTTATTTATGTGTTTGTGTTTTTATTAAAGAATTTCCAAGTCTACCTTCAAAATTTGTCCAAGCTATGGACCTACTCACAAGTCCCAAAGGAAAATATTTTCTTTATAAAACTTGCAGCATATGGTTTCACTTAAACTCAAACAGCATCAGCTACCCAGTTAAACATGTTAGTCCTCCTGGTTGAAATGATTCTAAGTTACCTCTGCTGCCCACACTACACAGCCCACTTCCGCACGGTGGACCACCAGATACCTCCCTGACCTTGACTTCACCTTGTCTTCCAGGCTCACACCCTGCCCCTTCCCACATGGAGCCAGTTCAGCCTGACATGCAAAACTCCTCTGTTCTGCAAGCACACCATGCTCTTCCACGTGCCTAGCATTTTTACCTACTGTTCTCTTGTCCAAAAGAGCTGTGTCTTTTATCATGACAGTTGAACTTCTCAAGCCTCAAAATTCATTCAAAAGTCATCTCTTCAGGGAGGCTTTCCTAAACCTCTCCCTTCATCTCCTTTGTGACCCATGACACTGTATATTCCTATAGAAATAGGTTTCCCTCTCCTCTGTCATGATTTGTTGACATAACCACTTCGACCTCTATGAAACTGTGAACTTCATGAAAATGGGGGTTTTCTCTGATTCATCTTGGTCTCTCCAGTGGCAGACACACAGTAGACATTCAGTAAATACTTGTTAAACAAATGACATAACTGTATTCTGGGAAAGGTTTAACCAAAATTTTTAAGATGTCAACTTTAATGTATTTCTTGATTTTTTGTAACCTCTACCCTCTTCCTCATCATGTTTTCTCTACTAGCCAAAAATACTTTTTCCAGAATGTATTTTCTGGAGGGGGAAACATTGCTATTATAAAATAGTAGAAAATCTTGTTATAATACATCAAATTACACACACACAGAGAGTAGATAGTCTCATTTGGGGATGAGCGGGCATTCGGAGTAATGCAAGAGGTAAGCTGTGTGTGTTCGCTGGCTTTGGCAGACCTTATAATGACAGATTCTCTGCCCTTCACTGCCAACATCTCAATCAAACCAAGGCAGAACAGCTAGCTCTTGTTTATGTATTTTCTTAATTTTGTATGATTACATATATTGCTCTTGTCACTGAAGAAAAATTATACATACTATGGAAAATAGAGGGAAAAAAGGTAAACTACTCAAATAAAATGTTAAGTGAAAAATCCAATCACCTGACTGTTCTTTCCTATTCTAGGCTATACTATTGTTCTAAACTTAGCAATTACAAAAAATTGCTTTATGTTGCAGTAAGGCTTTCACAAATTAAAAGTTACAGTATCTACCTCATTTTAATGATCTTAAATGCCATCAGGAATAAAAATAAACTTCAACAATTTCAAAAGGAAAGCAAATTAAATTGTTCAGTCAAATATAATTCTCTGGCATAGATGACATCCCCAGTAGACCATTTACTTGGTTTTTCTGTTTGGCCCTACTCTGTTTCCCATAGTGTCATGGTTGGAGGGGATGTGAACAGAATGATTTTGTTTTTACAGACTGGTGGAAGTCATGATTTTAAATCTATCCTTAAATGTACCATCCATGCATGACTGCACCTCCGGGTCACAGCAGGCTGGCTTATACATGAAGGTAATTGAAAATCAAACACTAATGGAAAACATGGATCTGAGCACAACACAAGCATGTGAATTTAAGATGTTCATATTTTGAACAGCTGAGTCCTCTCTGACACACTGAAACTATTACATAAAAGCTCATCATCAAAGTACCCAGATGACTGAACCATTTACAATCTCTGAATGATAGATCAGTAGAATATCAAGAAATTTTCTTTCTAATCTCTTTTAGTAAAACATGTTTTACATATGGATTTTAAGATCAGTTCAAGAGGTGGGAAAGAAATGGACTAAGGAGGGGAAGAAGACTTAACAACTACAACTCCTTGAAGTTGATACGACAAGCAAACAGAAAGGACATTGTTAGGTGGGAGGGGGGAGAGGGAGGAGGGAGGGGGGTTTCGGTAATGGGCCACAATAATCAACCTCATTGTATATTGACAAAATAAAATTAGGAAAAAAAAAATTAAAAAAAAAAAATAAATGGACTAAGGGTCTCTTCTTGGCCATATACTTATTATATGCTTTAGATTGAGTCATTTTTTCCATTTAGAGCCTCATTGTTCATCTTTTCTTTATTATTATTGAAATATAGTTGATTATACATATTTGGGGGGTACAGCATTGACTACCATCACCTGCTTACACCTTGTTATGGTTAAATCAATATTATTAGCATATTCGTTATTATAACTCATAATTAATCTTTGTGCCCAATATCTTCCCAACCCTACTTTCCCTTCCCCCTCTCACCTCTAGTAAACATAGATTTGTTCCCTCCTTCTTTAAAACAAGGAGACTGTTTGGTATCAAGTTTATCTTATGAGGTTGTTATTGAAACTAAACAATGTGATAAAAATCCAGTGGTTACCCTCTGTGCTATGCTTCCAGAGGGTTAAGGAATCCTGCCAGAAAAATTAACAGCCAGTATTGAGATCCTCCAGGGCTCGGTAACTGGTGAAGGGTGAGGGTGGTAAAGAGAGGACATTTCTAACAACCTGGCTTGGTACTTAAGTGTGTTATGTTGCTTGAGTCAATAAATTTTTTTCCTCTAGATCCAAGTTGCCCCAGCACCAATGGAAGCATTGGGTTCCTTTCAGGAGAGGCAATTCTGGGGATTCTGTATCATGGCCTGTGATGGTCTTTCTTGGGATTGACTCTGATCACTGATCAAAAATAGCCAATACGTTCAGGAACTTCATGAAAAGCAAATCTAGACCCATAAATGGTAAAAGAAACAATGTAACAACAATAATGAAACCCCTTTACTAGAAACCAATTTTGCACCCTACATTTGACTACAGATTCTCTTTCATCAAATTATTTTAAGGAGCCAGCTACTCCTTTTCCATCTTTGAGAGGGTCCCCTTACGGTGAACATACACATTACTGAGATTTAGGAGTAACTCAAGCATAGAAGAGGTTCGATGAGGACACATTTCCAAGAGAAGTGTCAGATTCACTCTGGTAAATAAGAGCCAGAAAAAGACAAGTATTTCATCAATTTAAGAACTTCCATCAAGAGATTTCTCAGATCCTTTTCCTAAATAAAGCTTCTAAAGAGCAAACTACTCAGTCTTTGGTGTCAAACAAGCCTGGGTTTGAATCTTGAATCATCTATGCTCTAATTGCCTGACTTTAAACATATTAAGTATTGTCTTCAGGTTTTATATTCTTGTCTATAAAACTAATCATTTTTAGGTTAAATTTGATTCCATTCATAAAGCTGCTTAGCACAGAGCTGGCCTATTGGAGATGTGCCAGTAAATATTAAATCTTTTCTGTAAGCTCTCCCCTTTGAGCAGTAGACTAATGAGGAGGAGAACCCCATTGGCAAAGAGAGGAAAGTGAATTTTTGGAAATGTCACTGCAGCTTTGAATGCGATTGCCTACACAGAGGGCTTCATCATCTAGAGGTAAGAAAACGGTTCATCTCCTCAGTCCTGGGTGACATATTTCCCATGATAAAAAATGTTTTTCAAGCACCTTGGTTTTTCATCTTGACACCCAGTGTTCTCATCCCTGACCACAGACCAGACTGTAACCAGTTCCTTTTATTTTATTTTTTCCACTTAGGCAAAAACTTGCAAAAGGGGCCATTCATTAGTAATATACATCATGCACAAATTGTAGTGTTTCTATTAATGGAAAAACAAATTCACATTTCAAGTTTTTATGTCTACCACCTAAACTCTTAATCACATGCTGTTTTTAACCTGTATGTTTTGTCACTACACTAACAAAACATAAATGTTCCTGATAATGATGGTCTCCATGGCATCCATTTGGGGATAAAAACACAAGTATTGTGATAACGATGAAACCCAGTGGAAGGATACATAAACACTGACATTAAAAGGGAAAATTATGATGGAGAAATAGTGCCTTGATAGTTAGACTGCGCTAGATACCAACGTTGCATTAGCCAAATGAAAAGAAATTTGGAGTAGAGTAAAATGGGCAATATATGGGCATAGCTCCTGCTTGTTACAAACTTGACAAGAGGAAGCATTGCAGCAAAGGACTAGTATATTCTGCTCTCACCGTGGTGTCAAGGGAGACCTAAGGTAAGCCAAGGCGAGGGAATCAGTCACTGCAGAAGCTTCCCTATAGCTCTTAAAATGGTCTTTCTTGTCACCTTGTCACTCCTTTTCCTCTGCCCTCTCTGAAGCTAAAGAGTCACCAATGCTTGACCTGATTAGAGACACCGTAGCCTGTGAAGAAAGGCCACAGAGTACACTGGTCTGGGGCTCCTCCTTTGAGACCATTAAAGATTTAAAGAATCTAAGACTAAGCCTTGCTCCCAGGGAGATATTTTGTTCAGTTCTGGCCCTCATCAACCCATTCTACCATATCTATGCAACCCTCCGATATAAAGTAAAGCTATCTAGCACAGAAAAACTTCCCCCACACTTGAAGACAGGTACTTATCCAGTCACTAGCAGAATA